AGATGTGTATAAGAGAAAGGGATTCTAGGCAACCCCTGCCCCACTTGGTCAAATTTTGCAAACCCACCCCCATTCAATGGCGATCCTGGATAAAGCCCTGGTTTTCAGTGTGTAAAGCATGCACCTTGCAGTATTTTGCATATATTTCACAGCAGTAAGTAACATATTAGTTAGATCTATTTATGTAAATAGCGAAGTCCAATATTCTTCAAAAACTTGAGCGTTTTTATAAGAGATTTCCTACCATTGTTTTCGGTTCTGATTAACAGAATGTTACGTGAAAAAGAGAGCAGAAAAAAAGAATAATTGGAATTAGGCTGTTGAATGACGTAATAAAATTATGTCACGTAAATGGGATGACATAAAAAATATATGAAGCTCAGCGCATTAACAAAGACAGTGATGAACTCTGGCCTATTAGACAAGTTTACTAAAGAAAATCAACAACATAGGACTACATGTACAGTAGTTTAAATACGTATCGCATTGACTGATGATGAATCACCAACAACACGAAAAGGGAAACCAGTTATTGGCGGACATAGTATTAGGCCTAAGAACACAACCTTCAACATACGTTTGGACAAGTGTGGACGCATAAATAAATTGTTATGAACGGACATAGGTAATCAATAAATGGACATAAACTTTAACGGATCAAACATCAACTGTATGAACGGACATTAAATACGTCTAATCAGCAGACATGTGTGAACGGAGTGTATAAATACCTGTACGTTATTTTTATTGGTGGGACAGACAATAGGCCTAACTTTTATGAACAGACAATTTGAAGAACTCGCGCACAGAACTAAATTTCCATTAATACTTAACAGTAATGAAAAAATAGTAGGTCTTCAATATGAATGCGCGAATGCCAAACATCTGCTGTGCGTTTAAGCGCTCGGTTTACTACTGATCCAGCGTATTGAATTTATGTCACGCATTGATAATTTAATTTAACCATGATTTAACAGCGAAAAAAAGTCGTTGGATTTCGAGGGGTTTTGCGCTGCTTTTGACACAAACAATGACAACGTAGACACTAACTTACGGCCGAACACTAGACAGGTCCTTTACTTTTTTGTTTATCCAATCCCTAAAATCTTAATGTGGCAACGCTATACATAAATTATATTTATGTATTATATTTACATAATATACAATTGCTCATATTTACTTTCTTAATTCTCTAAATGCAAAAGAGTGAATTTCACAACTGTATTATTTCTCGAGTGAATATTCGGACTGCGGTGAATTCTATTTTTTAAATAGTGGAAAATTATGATTTTTGATTACTGTAGACACACTTTCAGTCTTTATTCACTTTTTTGCAATCGGAGAGAACGTTGACTTTACGAAGTAAATGTCTCGAACGTTGACTGATAAAAACGATTTTCAGGAGTGCAAACAATCTCTGTAAATTGGATATACTTTGGGTGTAACATTAATAAATTATCATAATATTTTTTTAGCAAAAAAGTGCACAAGGAAAGTGCATATTTTGCGTAAGTCACGACTGGCCTATAGACCTAATGCTTAGTATTGTGAAGGCGACTTTTCTTTGCTTATAGCTTCTATTTTATAGCACCCTCAGTACAAATTGTATCATTAAGTTTGTGTTTTTATAGGCTTAATGTACAGAATTATCCTGATAAACGACATTAAAAGTGGCTAACGCACTTTTATTAAAAACACAACTTAATATAACATATAATCTATTGTTTTTATATTTAAGTTGTTAAATCAACAGGAATTTACTAAACGTGATGCGGGGATTTGGTGGCGAGCGATGAATAACTTCTTTTTGTAATTTAGGATATGTAGTTAATTGGGTGAAAACTATCCTCGGGTCTAATAATTTCTTGAAATTTGATAGACCTTAATATCCGGCGAAAGCTAGGAAAATTAGCGTTTCTAGAAATGTATTTATAAAAAACTTATTATTATCCTGAAAAAAAAAAGATTTTGAGAAGGACAGATAAGAATTAAGAATAATTCAGAATTCAGGATTATTCTAGTCATGGGTTGTCAACACATGTTAAGTCAATATCAGGTGCCGTAGCCTATTGCTGTTGCATGTTGTACTGTAAACTAGTAGGCCTAGTATATTTCTGAAAATTAGAATAAAGAATCTAATGAAGAAGTTTCAAAAATTACTCTAAAAAACGGTATACGTAGGCCTACTCAAGCCAAGTTTGATAGGCCTACAATCAAGTTCGGGATATTGCGTTTTAAATATTTAGGACTCTCTTGAACGCTGTATAGTACCTATGACCCACTGTTCAAATAAAAAATGAGTTTTAGATAAGCCTAGATCTGAAAAATCAAACTAGAGTGCGCTCTATCATTTATAGTTTTAGGGCTATTAATTATAGGCCTACTAATGACATAAGCTCTGTCAAATGGTGGATATAATGATGTTATCTTATGACGATAACTATGGTGATATACGGTACATCGTACAGTAAGATAAGTAAAATAAATAAGACATTCATAGCTTACTGGTTAAGATCCCAGCCGTTAGTTATCAAATGACAGTATATAAGGAGTTTGAAAGCACTTATTTAAGAATAGGCCTTTTAATACATCGACCCATTTTTATAGCGCTTAACCCGGCTCGTCAATGTTTATCTATACGATAATATTATAGGGCCTATTAACAGGGGTAGACCCATTTTGCGACTGGGTCTGTTAATTAGTTCTGCGCTAACGTTGTCCTTCGATCCTTATGCCTTTACATAACATAACATAAAAATAAGGGTTGATTCTCAGTGGATAAATGAAAGATTCATAATATTCCAGGTAGTTTTGTGACGAATGACGTCAGACAATACATAAAGCATAAAAAATGTCATCAGCATACGACAATATGTATTATTATTATATAGTATTCGAGGTGGTTGCCGTTAGACCCTTGCTCTCAAGTATTTAAAGGCACTAGGCGATACTATTTCTATATCAAAACCAGGTGATCAAGGTCCATTTACGGAACACACCAGATACAAAATACGTCATTAGTAAGCCTGAATAATAACCTTGAGACGCCTTTGATATTGTTTCAATCATTAATACTTGGGCCCCTATATCAATAATAAGGCCTAAGGTGGCTTATGTAACTTAAGTTTGTCTCCTTACTTACCGTGTATTATGTTATCTTCCCGTGTGACACTCTATTTGTAGGTACCAAATAGAATATATTTATCAAAAACATTATTGAATTAAGCAAACATTTACTTTGCAAACATATCAAATGGTTTAAACTGTTAAATAAGGTACTGCACCATAAACACTCCTAATCTTAGACATTAAATAATTATACCTACCAATAGACCTATTTGAAACAATTACCACAACTAGCTGGGGGTGTTTTCCTAGTTGTGTAGTCCCAGTTCGCATGTTGGGTTTAGTGTTTGCTAACAGGCCTATATAATATATATACAACATTTCTAATGATATATATGGCCTAAATTATAAAGAAGAGGAATATGGGAGTGTGAAAATTTGTCCCAACCGGCATTTAAACTATATTATGCAAACTCCATAACCAACAGGGCCACTATGCTATCATTTGTTGAAAATCCTAGGCCCTATATCAATAGTTCAAAATTTATATATTATAATTATGCATTGCTGTAATACGGTTTAGAGTTTAATTTCTGTTATATCATGATTTATATATACATATATATATACAAATATATATGTATATATAGGCCTATATAAGGCCTATATATACCGTATATATAATCATATATATATATTAATTATCTATGCATTTAACAACATATATTCGCTGTAGTTTCTGTCAGCATTAGTGTATAATCCTACCTGGTATGCTCATATGTATTTACGCATGATAAGTGTGGGTAGCTTTTAGCTACTCATACGAAACAAGTTTGTAGCTAATGAATGCAGATGGAATCGTTTTAATTTTGTGCACATTGTTTTATTTGATTCTGCTCCCAGCCGGTAGAGCCCTCTCATCCTGGTGATTTGCACCAAATTTCTTTTGATTATGTATATGTATATACATATATACAAACACACACACACACACACACATATATATATATATATATATATATATGTGTGTGTGTGTTGTGAATAATAAATTATGAACATTCTAATTGGTACTCACTTGTAAGATTGGCAACTATGTATGTGTTACCACTCCCAGCAGGAGCGCTGTAAAACCGATAGTCTAATAATTTCAAAGAATCACTCTCGAGATCTAGTAATTTGACTACAGTAAAGGACAAAGTTTTGCTTATATATGCGGAAAGGACGCGATCACAGGACTGAGTCATGATGTTCTGGCAAATGCGGATGGTTAGATTAAGCCAAATTTGGAGAAGAGGAAAACGTATTATAACAACCCAAGGTGGGAAATGTGTGCGCAGTTGCACATGAAGCGCAACAAGTGAGATAATAATCGTGACGGTGAGCGTTTGGAATTATAAGTAACAAGAAGAAACTGGACGATTTTATGTTAGGTTGACGCGATTGTGTGACCGTACCTATGGATATTTGTACGAGTATATTTTCTTACGCACCTGTGTTACGTTGGTTGACGATAGCGTTGGTTCGCCTGCGTTAGACTGTTTCGGATTTTTATTTTATCATGGTTAATAACTTAGTTGACCTACTGCAATAATTTTTGCTATTTTGTTTACAACGCATAGAGACCATGCATTATGTCCTCTACTTTTACCATTATCAAGAGTGTTAAGCACAGGCGAACTCTCGGATTATCTAGTTTAAACGATATTGTTTGATTATATTGTTAATGCATCGAATGTGAGATGGCATAGTCAACTTTCGTGTCAAAGCAACCTGCTGTTAGAATGATTTTGGCTGATATGCACTGATGTGTTTAGTGCAACCAAACTTTTGCCAGGCATAAGCGGTATTATCATTGTCGCTCTCATCATTATCTTTTCCGGTTATTCTCAGCGTCATCACATAATCATCACCGTCATCTCCACCATAATCATTGGCAGCCTCGTCGTCATCATCATCATCATCACTAAAATCATCATCACCGTTAATATCATCATCGTAATCATCATCATCATCTTCGTATCATCATCATCATCATCATCGTCATCATCACCACCATTATGATAGTCCACATGTTACTAATGAAGGACATGGGCAGGTTATCAGGCCCGTAAACAGGATGAATTGAGAATGAAGTATTCCACGAGGACCTTCGGTCCAGGAGGAAATTAGACTGATAGAGTCCATAAAGAAAGTTCTAGGGGAAGGGCCCTGGATTTAAAGTACTGATTTCATAAACGGGAAATCTAATGCACGGGTTGGGGGTGGTTTCATCATCATCGTCATTGTCGTCGTCGTCATCATCATCATCATAATAATCAGCAACAACAACAATAACAACAACTATTATTATTATTATTATTATTACAAATACTACTGCTACTACGTATTATTATTATTATTATATTATTATTATTATTATTGATTGATTGACAATTGATACAATAGTGGAGGCGAGACTTCAACTATCATCACGCTTTAGGCCTATTCCCTCTTCAAATACCAAAACTAGTCCTGTAATCTATTGATCCGTAAATATTGTTGCGCAAGTGATTTTTTAAACAAAAAAATCAAGAAAAAAAATGATCTAGCGGAGTAAACAGTAATAATGTGCTTATAGAAATATAAGGAGCTATAGGCTTACTGAATGTACATTACTGTATGTTCAATTGTATACAACACATAGCAATGGCAGCGCTCCTTAACTTTTATCTAAAGTAAATTTATTCGGAAGTCGTTATAACGGTCTCACGATTTCAATTATGTTTAATGTGTTTTAGGTGTTAAAATACACATGAATTTTATGATTTACCTTTGGCCGATTTGGCGCGTCTAGCGAATTCAAATTTTCATAAATCGCGTCTTCAGAGCATTCCGTTGTCATTTCTATAGTTAAAGGTATTTCCAAACTGACTGTAATACACCTTAACAAACGAAATAGAAACTTAACAACAAAATCAATTTATTAATATTTCACTTATCTGGGCTTATATCAGACTAACCAATCACAAAGCGTTGCGATCAGTGGGCTGAGTTTACCTTTTGGTTAAGGGAAGCATACTCAACATGCATGGAGGACAGAGTCCGGCATGGCTATCGCACTGGGCCATCAGTTGAAACAGTCGGCCTGTCTATAAATACTCTATTATTATACAAACATTACATCTTCATCGTCTTTTAAAATCTGGTCGAGATTGTTTTACTCGGTCTGGTTATGGCACCTACCACCTGGATATGAGTAGTGTCGTAAAACACAAAGGTAATGTTACCTATCTTTGCAGTGGCGGATCCGGTGGGGGGGGGGGTCAGGGGGTTCCGACGAACCTCCTCTGTGAAGAAACTTACAAAATTCATGCTAACTAGACGCGGATACAGACCTTCGCCCACTTCGCCCAGTCGAAGGTCACAGGGTGAGAATTCAAAATAAAATGTTGATCAATTTTTCCAACAATGATACTTACTTTCCTTGACACTTATTTTGAACATTACCATTAGGAAAATGTTTAAATCCACACTATCCTATACCTTACACTTTTAAACTGATTGTACTGTAGGCCCTACCAATACATTATGGTCTTCCACTTCTATAGAGCATGATACAGTGCATAGCAAACGTTATGTGACCACTAATAATACTTAGGTGCAGTGGCGTAGGTTAGACAGTGCAGTCAGTGCACAGCACTGGGGCCCGGGGCTATTGGGGGCTCGTTCAATAGGTCTAATGATCTAACATGTTTATGAATGAAACGTCATCTTTTCTCTACGATTGTAGAATAAATCGTACTATTTTGGGAATAAAACGTACATTGGTCGTGTCTGCCTGTGTTACAGCACGACGACGCGTCGCGACGGCAGCCCTGTATATTCACTCACAGTGAATCATGGCGTTGGTCGATAAATGTGCTTGTTGCAAAACTCATGAAATGTGTTGTACTTGCAGATTTCAAGTTGAGCTAAGTTATTCAAAATTATTGAATAATGTTCCTAAATTCAATCTAACAAAACAGATTGGGTTTTCATATAAAACGAAATGTGAGCTGAACGTTTACAGTCATGCCTCACTCAATCATCACATCCAGCCATGTCGAGTTGTCGTGCAACAAGTGTCAGGGGCCGAGGCCTAGCCTATAAAAACTCTACGTATATTTAACTTAATTTTACATGAAAATCAAATCAAACGTCTTTTGATGCAATAAATTTAGACTCTGGTAACCGCTGCACCTATGAAATCGATCTAGTGTTTCTGAGATGGTTACGAAATATATAAACAATTGCGTTAAATTTACTCAGTTTTGGTCCGGAAAATACGTACCGCACTTGGAAAAGTGAACAGGCAAAATTCATGAGTCATGCGTAATGGTTATTCTTTCCATACACGTTTAAAAGTGGGGTTTGCGTCAGGCGAATCAATGGGGAGGGGGGCTATGTGTGTAATATTTGCAAGTTGTTCTCCAGTGGGACTCGAACCCACGTTCTCCAGATCACTAGCCTGACATCATGCCTCTAGACCACTGAGCTTGCACCTGATGGCCATGGTTGAATTCGAGACCAAGTAGCAGCGAGTACTGTTTGCAAGTGTTTTCACACGCACTAGTATTGGGTACATTTTCACGACGGGTTGGACAAAATTCCACCTATATAGGCCTATGTTCTATTTATGTTGTGAATATAATAATATATCATAGATTCATTAAATGCCTAATAGGCCCTAAACGATAAAATATATATGACTTGGCCATAGTTTGTTGAGTCTTAATAGGCCTATTCTTGAATTTTTTAAACAAAATATTTTTTAGATATTTCTGAGCGTTAATGCCGTACCTTTTCTGTTTAAAAAAATCTCAGAATGTATGAGCATTAAGAGTTTCGCCTGAGTAGACCCCACTAAAGGCTCTGTCTCTATGTCCGATCAGGTGCATTTTTACCAATTTTACCTACGGCGCGGCAGTTATCTATGGTATAGTTACCAACCGTCACGCATCACTTCAAAGTGATTTTGGATGAAACGCATTTTGCAGAAACACATGCGAGATCATAAATATGTCACGCACCAAATTCAGGGAAAACGCATTTAAAATTAGAAGAAATTGGTTTTATTAAAAATATAAAAACGGTCATACAGTAGCTTGAATCATTAGAGAATCAACCAAAACCGACCAAAAATCGACCAAAACTGCCCAGCCAACGACGCACTTGTAGAATCTAGTAGTCGCTAGCAGTCTTGCGAGTTTATTGTTAAAACCATAGAGAAAATAGAACTGTTCTATTTTCTCTATGGTTTTAACATAGAGTTTATTTTCTCTATGGTTAAAACCAACCGTTGATTATGTGACGGGAACCCGAACTTCCGCAGGGGTTCTGTAATAATCAATACCGTATACAGTATACTCGCGTACGTAGGTCCTATAAGGCGACCCGTGTATAAGACGACCCCCGAGTTTTAGAAGATTTTTGGTTGATATTTGTATGTCTGGCGTATAAGACGACTCCGTGTTTCATGGGAATTCCTATTTTTTGTGGTCCTGATACTGCATCTAGCTGGATAAATGGAGCCAAATGCAAGGGTAATCTTCCAAATAACACCATTTTATGAGCTTTTAAATCTTCATCACCAAAATCGTATTTTCCCGTATTTAAAATTGCTTTAGTTCATTTCAGCAGTAAGTTCGGGTGTTACGGACGATCCGCACATAACACGAACATGATTATAAAAATCTAAAATTTGAATGTCGTGCGTATATAACGACCCCCTGCTTTTCGATTGTAATTTGCTATTTTAAGCGTCGTCCTATACGCGAGTATATAGGCCTGCGGTATTTGTTTTAAAACCCTCGGTCATGAATCTGAGCGTTAGAGGAATCCCCCATACAGTGGCGAACACCCCTCTTTCAAATCCTGGATCCGCCCCCTCTCTTTCTCTCTCTCTCTCTCTCTCTCTCTCTCTCTATATATATATATATATAGGCTATATACATTTTAAGTCAAGCATTGGCAAAGACTACAGGAGTAGCCGAACTACTAGCATCAATAAATGTTAGTGTTTCTGAAGTCAACATCTTTATTGAATTTCATTACCGTTACGCTATATTATATATGTAGGTGTATATATATATGTATATATATATATATATATATATAGGCTATATACATTTTAAGTCAAGCATTGGCAAAGACTACAGGAGTAGCCGAACTACTAGCATCAATAAAAGTCAACATCTTTATTGAATTTCATTACCGTTACGCTATATTATATATGTAGGTGTATATATATATTTTAAAGGGGCTCGGAGGTATTAAAAAGGAATTCGGTTATTTACACCACAGACCCTATTTACATCATCCCTTTCTAACTGGCATCCCATATATATGGTAAAACCTCTAATTGAAGCCCAATAGGCTTAATCTCGAGATGAAGCCCCCTCTTTAGTTTGCAAAATTAGTTTCGAAAAGTTGTTTTATAGTACAAATTCACAAAATTTACAGCATTCATTTTGAATAAAAGCACCCCCCCCCCAACCCACAATTTTTGTTTGCAAAAGAAGCCCATTTTGAATAGAAGCCATCTAGAAAAGAAGCCCATCCAAAAAGAAGTCCATGGCTTCAATTCGAAGTTTTCGATATCTCAAATGGGTATTCGGTGCTGATTGAGTGTAACGGTGTTGATTGGTGCTCATCACATGTTACCAAACAAAATACAAGATAAACTGAGCTATCATTGACTCTGTTTTAGCACTATCTGATGAATAGGTTAATGGAAATTGTGGGTTAGTGGTATGAATCGCGCAAAGCCCCTTCCAGTGATAAGGTTGTCTCTGTAAAATAGAATATATACGTATACTATCATATATGTTTATTCGTATTTATATAATGATAAGCCTACCCATTTATAATTATACGATAAAACATATCAACATAAGTATAGGACCTAGTGGATTTTGAATATAATATATAATATACAATATTTGCAATATAAAGTCGAGTTATATCAGCAATGATTAAAAGACAAGGCTATTGATAAACGTTATATACATAACATAATCCTCTATATAACAATATATCATGGGTTTTAATTAAATAAATTCATTCCAATCTTCTGACTACAACATAGGCCTAGGCCTACACACAATTAACAAATCAATAGTAACAGTCCTCGAATATAGGAACATATAATGTGATGATGAAGCATACCTCTTTAACGGGAGATTTTCAGAGGTATGTTATGTGAATAAGTGTCGCAATCAAGACTGGAACAACGCGAGTATTGTACCGACCATACGATATAAAAAAATAGTTCAATCATCAGGATGTTCCACACACTGCTGTGTACAGACCTCTACCTTCATTTTTCATCTTTTCTATCCATTGCCGCTTTTGTCCAGGGGTGGCGCCGTCGCTCAAAATCTTTCGAAATTGGTCAGCCAGGGGCGAAAAATATGACAATTATAAGGGGTTTCAAATGCTATTTAAATCTATTGAAGTCTATGTAGATTATAAATACATTTTTTTTTCTCTCCAACGAATTGTGTTTTTTTTTTCTTCCTGACCCCGGGGCTCTTTTTCCCATTTTGTTGTTCCCATGTATGTGGTGATGTCATCTCCCACGATTTTTTTTTCTTCCTTTCCTCCTTTTCCCGATTCTTGGTTACCAAGTGTTAATTGATAAAGGGAAATGCTTATCAAATATATATATTTGCATAGCACACTCATTTTGGGTTTGTGCACTCTTGTATTCTTAATCAGTGTACCACGTCACACAGGGCTGACCTAAGCCATGTTTGAATCTGTCGTGTGTTTCATTCTTGAAATCCTGAGCTGCACTGATGAGATCTAACAAGATCGAAACGGTAGGCCTACTGTCTGCAGATTGGAATATTTACGCTCCTTTACATTGTGCTGCTAAGGTAGTACATTGTTTTGTAGAGCACGGCATTGTTTATGTAATACTATTTTGCAATT